AATGGTCATAGTTAACCAAATAATTTGTGACTACCACTAACACTTGCAACCACCATCTCACCGATACCTCTAGCACCACCACTACCACCGTCGTCATCAAAACCACCACCACCTCAAACAAACTAACCTATCATAGAAAACACCACTACATCGCCACCCATGACCAAGACACAACACAAAAATGCAAAAACTAACCAAAATAATGTCATCGCACAACCAGGCTTTGACTTTGCAGCAACCGTAATGCCACGCCACTACCATCACCAACTCACCAGACTACCAATAGCACCACCACCTCGCTGTCATAGCCAACATCGCGGCCATCACCAACCAAATACTAAACACCAAAAATCAGAGAAAAGATAGTAGCTGGGAATTTGATGTACCACCAAACCGTTGTCAAACACCATCGCCGGTAGAGCTACCCACCCCCTTGCATCAATCTATTAGCAGCATCGCACACCGTCAGAGCCACCACCACCATGCTGCCAACACCACCACACCGCCAACACCACCACACCCTTACACAGCACTGCAACTACACATCACAACTGCTCCCATAGCCCACAATGCCAGACCCGCACAATACCCCCGCACCACACAGTCCACAGCACCACATGACCACAACGCAGTAGTGGTGACGGTGAGAAGTGAAAAGTGAGAGGAGATGGAGAGAAAAAGGGCTATGGAAATATTTAGGGTTTGGAAGTATGGTAAAAATATATTAATTAAATAATTAATTAAAAATATATTTTATTAATTAAATATATTAAAGTCACAATTCTATACTAATTGGTCACAAATTATTGAATTAATTAATTACAAATTATTTCTCAATCACGAAAATTTTTTTATAGGTCATAAATTATTTCCCAATCACATAAAAAAAGTATAGGTCGCATCTTATTCATCAATTAGAAATCAAAAAATTTATAGATCACAATTTACTTATCGGTCATATAATCAAAAATTTATTGATCAAAATTTATTTATCGATCACAAATTTCATAAGTCATAATTTATTTTACGATCACAAATTATCAAATTAATTTATCACAAGCTATTTCTCGATCACAACTTAATAAATTGTGAGTTACGATCACATTTTTTAGGTCAGATATTATTTTTTGATCATAAATTAATTAATTTATTAATCACAATCACTCAAGTCCAACCGCACCGCCACTTTCATCACTGACGCCAATAGAACGCCACCTCGTCACTTGAAAACCACCTCCTGAAACCACCATTTTCGTCGACACCAAAACCACCACAACCACTGATATCTCCTGTTAGATTGTCACCACACAACATGAAACAACCGCCAGAACTTAAAGGATGTCAATTTGGCTCGTCGATTCGGACGGCCTGTGACCAGCCTAAGCCATGAGTCCCATTTTCGAATGTCAGCTCGAGCTCGTGTGGCTCATTGAGCTACTCAATCGATCCGTAACGAGTCAAGCCTAACAAATAAATAAATAAATAAAATCTACAAAACTTAAAAAACAGAATAAAAATAAAAATGGAAGGCATGTGTTAAGGCAGAAATAGCTGCCTCTTAAGGCAACTAAGAAATAAAAAGAAAAAAAGAAAAACAAATGTGAGCCAAAGTTGTTGGGTAATTGTTTCAAAAGTCAAAAGATAGAGGACTTCTATTATAAATAATAAAAGGCAATGATTGTATGGAATCCTTCTAATTCAAGTTGAAAACTAAATCTTTGCAGTACTTGATCTCTAATTTACAGTCGATTTTTTAGTCTTGCACATGAATGAGTCATTGTTTGAGCTGAAATGAGTCATTGTTTGAGTTCCAATTAAGCTCTTATACTTGATTATTGATCCTATAAATAGTAGATATATTTTATTATTTTGGGTGTGACCTAAGAGTTGATTTGAGAGAAAAATATTGTGAGTCTGTCATCTTGAAACTTTTCGTATAGAGGTAGAAAAGTAGATGTGGTAAAACTCAAGTTTATACTTGGGGATTAGGTTGGTGAGTAAAGTTCTATATGGTTGTAACGATTTTCATATAGTGAAAAGTTTTGACAATCTGTTTAGTTTGTTAGTTATATTTTTTATTTTCGTGTTTATTAATATTCTTTTGAGCAACAAAAGATCCTGCGGGTGAATATAAATAAAAGGAATTGACGTAAAATTCCCAACAAGAGTACTCGGTTCGTTAAGGCCAGAGCTGAAAATTCGAGTCAAGTCTAGATTTTTTTGCCAAGCAAAAGCTCGACTCGACTAGCGCTAATAGGTGTGTTTTTGCAAACTTATTAAATACTTTACACATGCTAATTATTGATTAAATTGAATGAATTTCTATTCAAAATTGTGTAATTATGACCTTTGTAGGTAAAAATCATCCAAAGAAATCAAACAATGCAAAAGAAAGTGAAAAAGGATCAAAAGCGTACAAAATTGTGGAGTTGAGGACCAAATTGCATAAGTGAAAAAGTTCAAGGAATATTGAATTAATAATATGCATAAAAATGCTTGAACTACTATTAAAAATGTTGACATTTTGAGTTGTAACTTTCGATGAAAATGTAATTTGAAATAGTATTTGACGAAGAATGTGTGATTAAAAAATAAGCAATATTTTTGAATTTGCGTGTAATATTATTTTGTTAGCAAATATGTGGTTAAAGATAAGAGAGAAAAATATATTTTGAAAAATAATGAGTGTCAAACGAGGGCTTAATGTGTATTGACATTCTTTTCATTAATTATGTTTAATATGTTTCCACTATTCTTTAAAACCATATCTTGATATTTATTTTCATTTCAAAACTTCCCTATCTCGATATATTCTCAAATGAAAAGGAAAGCTATAAATTTATAAGCATCTTCCTTCACAGAGTCGCTATCTCCTAACCTGGCTTCGTTCCAAAATCGATTGGGGGTGCAAACATAATGTTATGATTAAGATGGACAACCTGAACTTTCGTTGTTATTAAGAGTTCCTACATTAAAAGAAGATATTTATAATATGTGGCTAAGCTTTAAAAGCAAATTAAACTTTATTTCTAATCATGTTTGCCTAAATTACCTTTTTCTTACCTTATAAATAATTTTTCCTTTTTACTTATTTTCTGCTTCAACTTAAAACATATTATTTATGAGAACATTTTATGCATAATCAAACATGCTGTTTTGTTTAACATTGAAATGCATGATTAAAATAATTTTGTTAAATGCCTAATAAATGTAGAAGAAATTGTAAATCTAAATTTAGCACATAAAGCCAATTTAAAAATGGAACCATTGGTTCCATATTCAATTATAGAATTTGTTGTGCATGTGGCTCATATAGAGTGGAACACGGATTTTCTGGATCGGCTCCGCTTCGGCATCGGTCTTGCGCGAGTTTAATTCGCTGTTTGATTGTTAGGGAACTGAATGGGTTAGAAGTGTGGGGGCAATGCCCCCACGGCACGGTACATAAAGGTTTTCTTGTACAGGCCTTAAAGTTTTAAATGAGCTCGTGCTAGGGTTAGTATAAATAATAATTTTGTAACTCTATTTTTCATATTGAATAAAATTATCTCCGCTTTGTTCTCATGGATGTAGGCACACTGCCGAACCATGTAAATACTTGTGTTGATTTTTCTCTTTCATCTTTTTATTATTGCGCAAAAAATCTAATATAATTGAACCAAAATCAAACCAATTGTTTCCAGTCTAGTTCTTTACATTGAAAAATTATAATAATAAAGTATAAAACCACTTGTTAAATTGAAAATAAACAAAAATATAGTATGAAATCACTTTCATCCTTGTAATCTAACAATACTAAATAAATCAATTAAACCAAACTATGAGTGGACTAATTTAATTGGTATTTATAATTTGAAAATTTGGTTAAAGAATTAGAATCAAATCAAACCAAATTCGGTTGTTCAATTTCATTATTATATATGAAACAAATGGTTCATTACAAAAAAAATACATTGGTTCTTTATTGATTTTGAATCTCTTGCAGCCAAAATCAGAACAAACCACCCTCACCCCTACTTTTCTTGAAGTTTATAACAATATAATCATTTCTTTAAAAAATTACACAAAGATCTCTTAGTTCAAGTTTTGAATAACACATACCTCACTTATATTTTCTAACAATATAAGAGACATTCAATCTCTTTTCAAAAATTTCTAAATCTCTTTCGCCTGAAGTTTTGAATAACGCTGACTTTCCTTGGCTACTTTTCTTTCACATGCAGTGACAATGCATAAAATATCCTTAGGAACTTTTTTCCATAGTGTGGCTCTTTAACAATATGTAATAAATATAATACTATTCTAATACTTCCAACTAAATCAACAACAAATTGTTGTTTAGATACTAATTCTTCAAAAATAACTCAATATGTAATTGATTGGAATAATTGTATAGGGGAAAACAAGATGTAAGGATTCTAGTTGTGATTTCGTTCTTGTTTGATTTTAATTTTTTTAAAAGTGATTTTGTGAAAAATAAAAGAGAGCACTGTTCGAAAAAAAAAAAAAAAAGGAAAAAGCTTATGGGTGCTCATGAATTTTTTATTATTATTTATTTTTATTTTTAAGAAGAATGTAATCAAAGTAAGTTTGTGGAAAAATAATTTTCAAAAAAAGTGATTAGAAAAGGTCGAAGCTTGCATACTTAGAAATTTGAAGGTTATAACCAAAATGCTTTTTAATATGATTAATTTTTTCAAATATTCGTAAGTTTGCAAATTGTTAATTCCTTCAAAATGTCAAGACTCCCATGAAGAGTGAAGAGGATTCCAATCTTGAGATCTTGTTGTTCACCATCTCATTGTTCTTATTACCATTGCAACCTGGTTTTGTTTAGGTAACCATTGTCAATACAGAGAAAATAGTAATAAAAATTGTCTTGAATTAGATCTTAGACCACCTTAATCTCCGCCACAGTCATGGTGGTAGGAGAATGTGTTGCTGGAAGATGATGAAGATTTCTAATGGCTATGGTCACAATGAACTCAATACACATCGTGTTGGCAGAACTTCGAAGTTCTATTTACTAATCTTCAAATATATTTCACAATTTTGATTTCCATAAAACCGTTTTCTGCTGTTTTTGAAACAATGGACAAACTTTTGGACGACCACTGGTAACATAAGAATACAAAGTAAGAACCTTAACCCAACACCTAAGAAAATAAATCTCGACTTAACACTAAATATATCAAGACATGATGATACCTGATACCCTGAAGATGAATGAAGTCCTGTGCTTCGAACTTCGTACTTGCATCAGTACCCAAAAAAAAAAAAAAGATTGGTGCCTAATTTGTGGCACGCAAGACTTAAGAATTGACCTATCTAGTTGTAATACTTTAAGCAATGGCGAAGGAAATTGTCTCCATCTCTTTAGGGCGCCACATGGTTTTCTCGGCACACAGCATTCCTTCCTTGTTCTTGGAGAAGGTCATGCGAATGTCCCAGTGCATGGACTTGAGAAGGTTCTCAAGTTCATTAATGATCTCAACAGTGTCTCGGACGATAAGCTTTCCTTCGGGCCTCAAAATTCGATCGGCCTCCGCCACCAGAGCCATAAAATTACACCTGAGTCCCAGAATCCAGAATAATTAGAACAAAGCATATACATTTAAGCATCAAATCAAGTTAATTGAGTCTGAGGTACACACTTGTTTTTAATCTTCGAAAAGATATGGTCTGCATGGAGAAGATCATAGGATCGTGGGTAAGTACTGAACGATTCACACCAGTCATGATATATTCCAAATAGACCTCGTTCATAAATAATCGGTAGAGTATCAGGAGCATCTATGGAGACAACATTCATAACCCACAATTTCATATCTTTAAGAGCAGCAGCAAATCTGCAAAAGCAGCCATCACTCAGGACAAGCCAAATGGTAACCAAAATATGCTATTTAATTACATAATAATGGTATCAATATGAAGAGGTTGATGTTGCAGCATAAGAAATGATGAGATAAATATATTAACCATTAAGTACACCACATTCCCACTCAATAAATAGAAAAAACGAAGACGATCTTGACGAATTCACATGTTTCAAAAAGAAACTTTATGTTAACAGACTTTTCGATTTAGTATTCATAGTTCATCATGAAATTTAATCTTCGAAGAAATCTGCACTAGCCTTTTAATGAAAAATGATGCAGGATTTTGTAGCACCAGATCAGAATTTAAAGTAACATTGGTGGTTGTGTTAAAATCTGGGACAAAAACTGCAGTTTGTACCAACGAAAATAAATTTGATTGGGCAATGAAATGTAATTGAAATTTTTATACGTATGAAGATCCAGAGTTTGTTATTTTTACCCTCCATAGACAGCTCGCATGTCCATGACATTCCTCACATTAGACCAGTCTATTCCCAATCCATTTTGATATGACTTGCTCACAACATGCTTCCAGTGTTCATAATCTGCAGCAAAATCTTCTGGAGCAGGTTTCCCATAAACTCCTACCTGGGAACTAGACAACCAGTAAGGAGTTTGCCCCAACCTAGCAGGCCACTGTTTAGGCCATTGAGCCCCACGTTCAGATGAGTCAACAGGCAGTTTGTGCAGGCATGCTTGTAAAAGCACATTCCTATGCACGAGGTATAGAAAACATTAAAGCAACGATAAAACCAAAATCCTATTCTACATACCCTGCATGCATGCAGCCCTTATTTTCAGTATCCCAGCAACAGAGCCTTGCAATAAAACCCTCCAAGAAGAATCTAAAAGGAAGTCTTATCTCAGAGAAAAGAAAGCATACCAGGCAGAATTTGGATCATCAGAGTCTTTACACAGTGGAGGATCATTTTGTGATCTTTGCTCATAGCACTCGTTTGAAGTAGGTTTGCGATATATAGCTATTCCTACTCCATTCACTCTGTCCTTGGTAATGGACACAACTTCCCAACACATTGCCTTTGTTAGTTTCTTCATGGCTGCAAATAATTCCCAATAAGCACAACTCGTTAGGGTCCATGATTTTTTGTTAGCTTCAAATATAACCAGATTCTATGATGTACCTTCCCAAATCTCAACATCTTCAGCAAGTTTCTGGTAGATGGGAGTTGCAGACCAAACAAAGTAACCCCCAGGACGGAGCAAACGATTCAGCTCCAAGAGAAGTTTACCTCCTGCACATTGTTAAATCTCACTGGTTATAATCACATTCACAGAAGGATAACAGTGAAAAGTTGAAAAATAAAGTACACAACCATTGGAAATTCAGATAACTTTCTCCATCACAATAGGAGTGCTAAGGTTTCAAGTTTAAATATTGTTACTGTTCAACTTCCTTCTAGAACAAAGTAACTGTCTGGAAGTGAAGTACCTTCAATGTGCCAAGGCACCCTACAACGTGCACAGTGGACTATATCGAAAACTCTTCCAGGGTATGGAAGTCTCTTTGTACCCATAACGGCAGATATACCGGGAATTCCTCTTTCAAGTGCAAATTGGACCTGAGCTTCATGTTCATCTTTTGGAGCCAAAGACATGGTTAGCACATCCCTGTCAAAGAGGAAGCCTCCAAAGCTAGCAACACCACATCCGACATCCAGCACAACACGTGATCGTTTTCCCCAGGCTATTTCAGGCACAGACTGCACAACAATCATTTCATATCAGCAAAAGCAATTAAAAGAATCTAATGATTCTATAAAGCACTAGTAACCGATGTCTTTCATGGCACATTAAGAACATTTTTCAAACTAGCATTGAACTCCAAAAAATATTCAATTGAAATCCAAATTAGATTTGCAGCACTTCAACAATGTTGATAAGGTTATGATTTAATTCAGAAGAAATATTAGAAGCTAGTAAGAATTCATTTTATTGCAGTAAAAATTCACACGTTGCAAAGCATGAAGAGTTATTCAGAAACAAACAGGCAGTAATTGTTAGAAAATTAGCAATCCAAGCAGACAATGAAACAAAATCTATCAACCTTCGGGTAAATAAACAAAATTGCATGTGAAGTTTGCATCCAGTACAAAATGTGCTGTTTTCCATGTTAGAATGTCCATTGGACCATTTCCCATGTGAATTTGCAGTAGGGAACACGTGCATAAACGAGGCAGATGTTAGAATACTTGTGCCAGTGTTCAACGTGTTAATGTGACTGCAACATCTTACCTGCTGTATGAAATCAATATAACGAAGAGCGCCATGCTTAAACTGAGTTCCACCGCCAGGGAACGTAAGGTATTCACCACTAACTTTAACCCAATTTTGGTGTCCTTTAACTTCTGCAAGCTTGGTATGGGGAACATTATGATACCATATCTGCAAGAACAAATTTAAAAATAAAAAATCATGTGAGTAAGAAGAAAAGGGAAAACTGAAGCTACAAAAAAAAATATTTACTGAAGTACAATACCTTTTCCCGACTTCTAGGCCATTCAATTGGGCGTTTGTATCCTTCGGGAACTGGAACAAGGCACGTGGGAGGATTTTCAGGACAGTGCCTCTCCCTATGTTCATAATGCTTAGTTGATGGAAGCTTCCTGATTGCTTTCATATTATCTAGGCAAGGAATGTAATCAGTCCCAGCAGTGGTTTTGCAAATTTTCCAACTGTACCCACTTTCTTTCTCTAACTGGGAGGATTCTTGGGCTGCTTTCTCATTCTTTGACTCTGCTGCCTGAGTTGAAAAGGCTCCATTTTGAGTGGTGGTTTCCTTCAAAATTTCTGATTGAGCACCAGAAGGAAAGACTTCACTGGACTTATCCTTTTTCTCACCAGAAACTTGATCCGACTCCTTATCCTTCTTCTCATCTAACTGATCCTCTCCCTTATCCCCATCCTTCACATTGCCAGAACTTTGTTCTGATTTCTTCTCATTATCATCAGAATTATTTTCATTGGTCTCTCCAGTTTCAGAGTCTTTATTCTCATTCTGAAATTCCCTATTGTCCTCATTTTCCTCTCCATTCTTTTCTTCTTCATCTTCTTTCTTTTCTTCTATGTATTCTTTCTTTTCATCCTTGGAATTCTCTTCAGGATTTTCCTCTGTGGTTTTTTCAGTCACTTCAGAGTTATCCTTTTTCTCCTCCTGAATTGAACTTGCATTACTGTCTCCTTTGGTAGCATCCTCAGGCAAGTCACCAGGGTTATCCTCAAATTGCTTTGTCTTGCCATCATCACTGGAACTACCATCATCACTTGCATTGCGACGACTCTCGTTGCTTGTAGCATTATTGTCATTATCTTCATTGCTCTCACTCACGTGTGTCCTCACCTCATTCTTTTTCTCCCGAGAAACATCCGAGTTCTGAACGGGAACCACAGACGATGATGTCATCATCCATACCCCAACTAAGCAAAGGGCTACAAAAACCACTATCGTAATAGTTGAGCAATAGCCTGATGATGATTTCCTACCATCAACTCTAGAGTACTTTCCTAAAGCCATGCTCTAAATTGTAATCTTGAATTAATCCTTCAGTCTTTTTATTATTACACCTGAAAAGTAAGCATGTTATAGGATAAATTCTCTTCAATTAATATCAAGAATGTAGTATTGAGCTCATACAGATGGATAAATAGATAGATATGGTACGAGCACCAAATTATCTTGTAGTAGGACATCAAACAGTATTACTACCTAATTAATGAGTCAAAGATACATCTTTCCTACTCAGCAAGTGTGATCTCATAAAAGAAAGAAACTGTTTTAGAAATCGACATTGCCCCCAAATTTTGTACACAGATAGGCATTAACTAATCAGTAGAAGATCATCAATAGATCAGTGGAAAAAAATAAGAGCTAGATAAAAATAATACCAGAATATTAACCCCCCCCCCCCCCCCTTCTCTTTTTTTAAATATTAACCCCCCCCCCCCCACTTTTTTCTTGAATAGGGTTGCATCTAGTTAAAATTTCACTATTTAAAAGAGTCCCTCAAGTAAAATATTACCAATCGTAGTAAAAGGAAAACCGTCTTCAATAGCCCAGACCAAAACTGAATCCCCACTTCAAAAAGCATCATCATCAAGAAACCAACCCCATAAACATAAATCAAGAACAAGAACTGGATCGAGTCATAACAAAACACAATCATAGGCGAACAGATAATTAAAGATTGCACACACTACGCATCAAAATGCATCAAGAAACCAGCTTTGGCAGCTGTGTTTTCAAGTACCTTTTCGTTATTCTGAACTCAGATCTGATAAAAGTACATCAGCTTCACTCATTTTCTCATTGTGTGCAGTGGGTAACTTTCAGTTAAGAAAGAAGTGTATTGATGATAAGTAGATAGAATGTATATATACACGAGAGCAGGATCAAGAAGAAGTGTGAATGGCTTGAACTTGTGTAGGACTTTTTTCTGAATTATTAGTTTTATGTTAATCCTGGATTTACTCCGGTTAATTATGGTTTTGGAGGAGAAGAGCTGACCACGAGAGTGCCGTGAAATTCTGTTGAACAGTCCGCGAGTGTGTGTGTGCACCGACTTTCGATAGCCAGTACGGAGAAATTAATTAAAAGGCCCACATTTTACATTAGGCCCCTGTTTGGTACTCATTTTTGGAGCCAAAAATACATTTTTTCCGTCACATCAGCACACAATTTTTGACTTCTACACTCTAATGGGGGACCCGCGATATGATGTTTAAAATGCATTTTCATCTAAAAAATGTGCACCAAACGGACTCTAGATTCTTCCTGCCCCCGATTAGGGTTAATAATACAAAACGTCCGCTTTTCAATATCCCTGTGTAAAACTTCGTCACTTTTCATTTTTTTACATTTTCACTCCTATTTACAACTTTCATCGTTCAAAAGGTTATTTTTATCCATTTTTCAATAAAATAACAATTTTATCCTCCTATTCAAATAAAATAAAAATGAAATGATAAAGTACTATTTGCAACAATAGTTCCAAAATTTCAAAAAAATACAAATTAATCATAAATCTATAAAATAAAATAATCATTCATCTTCTTCCTGTTTTTCTCTCAGCTACTCGAATCAGTGCTCCCCTTTTGGCCAACCCAACTTCAACGCCGTCTATTAATTTTTATCCTTCTCTTACGACAACCCCCTTTTCCTCTCTTTCCCAAAAATTAACACACACGACTCTTCTTTGTGTGTTTATATATATGCTGACTGAACAACCTCAAAGTAAATTAAGCTCTATTGTAATTAAATAACAAAAACCATGTGGTGTGCTGTTGCAGGCACCCAAAAATACTGAAGTCTATGCTTTCAAAAAAATGTATGTAATAGTGGAAGTGCGGATCGTTCTCACGAAGAGTGATTAGTCTAATTTTGTGTAATGTTAACACTGACGGAGGGTTTCGTTCGTTATGAAATCAATTCTAACTAAAAACAATGCAATTTAATAAATTGGATTAAATCAATAAAACGAACCTTGCTCTAAGTCAATATCCACCATAGGAATTTCAAACTGATCATGGATCTATGAATGATTATCAATTCATATTTTTGCATTTATCACTGGAATTTATTTTTCCTATTTCTCCTTAATTGTAATTAACCAAAAAACAAGCGATCCAATCAATCTTTATTATCAAACAACCCCGAGACAAGCACTTTAAGATTTAATTCAATAATAGCATTGGAGAGAAATCGATGAAACTAAATAATGCAATCACAAGCGATTATGTTTAATCTAGTCAAATATCCTTTCTAGAATTTAATGATCTCTAAAGCAGCGATTAATCAAATTCTAGTTGCTTCATAATGTCAAGATAACAAACAATTACGTATTTATTCTTTAAACAAGTAATAGATTGTGATACATGAATATCTAATAGGTCTCTTCGAATTCAAATATAACAACTATGAAATCATGCATAGAAGAATATTCAATGCATAATATATGAATGAAAACAATGAAATTTAATTAGATCTCACAGTTTGAATCGTTCTTAGGTTTCAAATCATTCGATCAAGAGATGAAATTTAGCAATACATCAATAATCCTTAAGTAAAAAGAGAGAAAAGTTCATGGTGTCTGTTCTTTGCCTCCAAGATATGTAGAATATAAGATTTTTAGGTAAAAAGGAGGTTTCCTTCTTTCTGGCATCTTTAGGTATATATATGATGTCAAAAAATATTGTTTCTATGTAAAATTTCATCAGAATATGGAAACTGGCCCGTCACAAAAATTTTGGCCGCGCTCGCGCGCCATATATTTCATTGTGCGCCCACCATTTTGTTATTTTATTCTCGGTATGCAAAAATAATGTCTCATGTGCACGCCACTTTAAGCCCTTAAGCGCACGTAGTGTAAAATAATTTCAATTGTTGCACTTTGATCCCTGAACTTTCATCTTCTCTTTTCTTGGCTTCTTTTTCTTGTTTTCCTTCTTCAAACACTTTGAATCTTTCATCAATTGGCTTTCAAATTTTTCACTCATTCATTTCGCCTTCCGGTTCAAATTTTGGATAATTGCATTTTAGTCCTTCAACTTTTGATTTCTTTCACTTTAATCATTTTTTTTTGCTCTTTTCTTCTAATTAATGCCATCATCATCCATTTGCAATCTAAATCAAAATATAAGGATACTCAGTACATTTAGGCGTTAAATAATCACAAAAGCATAAGGTAAAGGAATGAAAAATACGACATTTTACATTCCTATCACCCTGTGTTAGGATCTTCCTCTAGCTGCTTAAGGTGATTTTCGGGCTCAGTTAACCATTAAATATCGAATTCAACACCAAAATCGAGATGACCGACCGTTAGCGCCATTGTCTTCCTATGGTTGCTATTGCTCTTCTGCTTGTTGATTTTTCCACACATTTAGGATGGATACCACACAGGTAAGAGTCATAAAGCCTCAAGTAATTGGTAGGGAAGATTAATTAAGAGGATGCATGAAGGAGAAGAAGAAGAAGATGACTGCCTCTAACTCTCGGATCTCTCACGCACGGCACAAAGGAGAAGGAGAGAATTACCAATATATATATTAGTCCAATGACCACTTAAGGTAAGTCACAATATGGTAAGTAGGCTCGACTAGGGTTAAGTCCCAATAGCACACCAACAAGCCACAAAGATTATTAGCCATCCAATAGGTAAAGCAACGTTAGGTCGGTTCATCCATTATTCGGTGTTGATTTATCGTTCAGTCATTCATGTCGACTGATAAAATTGGTTTTCATCATCGCCCGGGAGGTCGTTTGACAACATGATGTCTAACAACTTTCACCTTAGTGTCAAAGGACCTGCAAAGAAAAACGTTTTCCATTAGTGACACCTCTAACAGAAAATCAATAAAATTGAAATCATTTACCTGTACCGATATTTAGAAGCTCCTTGCAACTTATAAACTTTACTAGTGGCAGCATTTTCGTGCCCATATCTGAAGGATTATATCGTGTGTGAATTTTTTCAAGTCTTACTACTTCTTGTGATATTATATCCCTAATGAAGTGTAACCTAACATCGATATGTTTAGTGCGTTCGTGAAAAACAGGATTCTTACACATATGTATGGATGACTGACTATCAGAATACAAAACCACATACTCATTCAAGACACTCGGTTCATGAAATAGACCTCTAAGCTATAGAACCTCTTTAATTGCTTCAGTAGTAGCAATATATTCTGACTCTGTAGTGGATAGTACAACTATGTGTTGTAACTGTGATTTCCAACTAACACACGAATTTGATAAAGTGAATACGTAAGAGGAAGTTGATTTCCTACCATCCCTATCTCCTGCATAGTCAGCATCTACAAAACCTTTTAATTTTACGTCTTCCTTATTAGCACTAAATTTTAGACCTCCGTCACTTGTACCCTTCAAATATCTTAAAAGCTACTTTAATGCTTTCCAATGTTCAGGACCTGGATTAGACATGTACCTACTGAGAGTACTAACAGCGAATCCTAAGTCCGGTCTAGTACAAACCATCAAATACATTATGGAACCAATCACATTTGAGTATGGAATTTTACTCATGTATTCCACTTCACATTCATTGCAGGGAGCTTGTTCTTTAGATAGAACAAAATGATTTGCAAGAGGTAACGTGACAGGTTTGCAGTCACTCATATTAAACCTTTTTCAACACCTTTGATATGTATGGAGACTGATGCAAGAATACGATGGAATTTGACCTATTTCTTTCTATTTCCATCCCTAGAATCCTTTTAGCCTTTCCTAGGTCTTTCATGTCAAATTCTCCACTAAAATCTGCTTTTATATTGTTTATCCACTTAGGAGATGATCCAACTAAAAGCATGTCGTCCACATAGAGCAACAAGAACAAATAATTGTTATCAGTCTCGTTGTGTTGAAAGTATAGGCAGTGATCAAATTTACTTCTTTGAAATTCTATAGTGAGTACAAAGGAATCAAATCTCTTGTACCACTGTCTAGGTGATTGCTTTAGACCGTATACGGATCTCTTCAAAAAACACACATAATCAGGTTTTAACTTGTCTTTAAAACCTTTTGGTTGATTCATAAAGATTTGTTCATCATGCTCTCCATGTAAAAAAATGGTTTTTACATCGAGTTGTTCAAGTTCCCAGTCAAAGAGCACAACCAATGCGAGCATGACCCCAATAGTAGTGTACTTGACAACTGGTGAGAAAATCTCGTTATAATCAACACCTTCTTTCCGTGTGTAACCCTTTGCTACTAACCTGGCCTTAAATCTTAAAGGTTCTGTACTACTAGTACCTTCCTTAAACTTAAAGACCCACTTGCAATCAACGATTAATTTATTCTTAGGTCTCGGTACTAACTCCCAAGTTTGATTTTTTTCTAGAGAACTCCTCTCTTCTTTCATAGCCTTAAGCCACTCCTTAGTTTGACCACTATTCATAGCCTCTTCAAAAGTTTTCGGCTCCCTATCAACTAGTTCTTCGTAACTAGCGTATGTAAAATCCAATTCAGATTCATACCCGAACCTTCTAGGTTCTCTCGTTTGTCTTCTCTCTCTATCCCTAACTAAATTATAGTTAGCTAATGGATTTTCTTCCTCAAGATGCTCTTCTATCACTACTTCATTTTCCTCTTCAGGTTCTTGGACCTGAATCTCCACCTCACTCGAAGTACTAGGTACTGATGTGTTAAATTTTTCTAACTCCACCTTAAACCGATTTCTTTCTTCACTTGATTCAGTTTCACTTACAGGTTCGATTTCGTTCTTTAGACAAGGCATCTCACTCTCATTAAATGTGATATCCCTACTCACGATGATCTTAACTCCTTTTTGGCTTCTATCCATAGCCTATAGCCTTTAACCCCTTCGGGATATCCTAGAAAGACACACTTCCTGGCTCTAGGTTCTAACTTTCCCTCACTTTGATGAGAGAAGGCAGCACAGCCAAACGCTTTAAACATTGAGTAGTCACCCAATTTTTCAGACCATTTCTCATGTGGAGAATCACCATTTAATGCAGCCGATGGAGTCAAATTTATCAGATAA